TTTCAATTCTCATTCCTGCAGTATTGTTTTTAGCAAAGACAACAACAAAATCTCATGCTTTTCCCTTTGCTCTCTTTAGATGTCAAGGATTTTGCTGTCTGGTTATAGCAAATCAAGTTTCCTGAAGTTGTCTGGTTTGTTGAAACCACATTGGAAGCCACATATTTAATGCTTCCTCTGACTTCCTAAGACCCTAAAAGACCTCCTGACACAATTTTCTCCCTAGAAAGAGGACTTATGCAATAGGGGACAGAGTTGTTGTACAAACCATCAAGCAGCTCAGGAAACCTTGTTGGAAGGGCCTAAAATAGCATGAGAATTTCAATATAATCAAAGCAAAGGGCTGAAGAATCATTAATGTATACCACCTTAATGTTCCTGTGGCTTTGACTTTCAGTGTATTATTGTCCTCTCTTCTAGTCTGTTTTCTTTTCAGCCCTGATCTCTCTCTGGCCTCCTGTTTCTTCCCGTATTCTCACTATCCCAACCTGTCTGGAATTTTACACCTTTTAGCATCTTCTCCTTTGAGATGCTTACATAACCGTTTACTTTGGTGACTTATTCCATTATTCCCTCTCTGGACAAGATGATTTTCCTAATCGTCTTTACTTCCTAGGGCTCCCAAACTCATCATTTGGATTCCTGTTGCCTTTTAAAGTAATTTATGGCAATCGCTTTTAATGGAATTTTGCATTTTTCTACCTTCCTAGCCACTTTTCTTGTGAGAATTTATACCAAGTGAAAATGCCATTTGTCCTCAGGAAACTTACTCCAGCCAAAGTTTACTAACCTGAAAATGAACACAGACTTTATGACCATTAAGTTGTCTGCTAGCTCCAAAGCTGTTTGGTTGTGTTGGTAAAATGAAGTTAAAGTTTAGCAATTGCATAAATGTTTAACACACACATGGAGTTTGGTAAACACCTTCTTTGGTCACTCCTTCATAGTTGAGTTGTATCTTGTTTTTAATGTAAAAATCATCTAATTTTATCAGATACAAAGCTTCCTACTCTACCTAGTTGCATTGTCCCTTTTTCACTTATTTGAGCGCTTTTATTTTTCCTTCTTCACATTCTGGACTAAATTTTTTTTTCTTTCCACACAGTTTACAGTTTTACATTTCCTTAGTTCCATACAGGAACCAGCTGTAAAACATTATTTCTGCAGGATCCTAAAAGCCACTAAATGATAGATAAGTAAGACCTCAAGAGCATTGTAATTCATTACCCCTGCACTCCATACTCTAACCAGTGGTCCTTGAAGGGGGTGTCAATACCAGGGTGTTTGTAAGACATCATTGTAGTGCAGAAAAAAATATTCATATCTAACTATGAAATATTCATAGTACAGTTATTTAATCTCATACTTTAAAATTATCTTCATTTATGTGTTTCACAATGCATATGTTAGCATAGTAATGGGTCACCTGGGTGGTTAGTCAGTTAAGCGTCCAACTTTGGCTTAGGTCATGATCTTGTAGCTTGTGAGTTTGAGCCCCATGTCTGGCTCTGTGTTGACAGCTCAGAGCCTGGAGCCTGCTTTGGATTCTGTGTCTCCCTCTCTCTCTGTTTATCCCCTGCTCATACTCTGTCTCTCTCTTTCTCTCTCTCTCTCAAAAATAAATAAAGATTAAAAAAATTTAAAAACAGAAGTAAATATATAGAGAATAGTCTATCTATAGCTATATCTGTATCGATTGTGCTTGTTCAAAACTTACTTATTCTTTGGGATGTGTGAGTAAAGAGTTTGGAAGCCAAATATTTGTCCTAGAAAATATTTATCTCATATTAATGTATACATGTAATATAAACTCACATTAATATAAAACCTAATGACTTTTAGGCTTTATAGACTCATTATTGACTATTACCCTTGTTAATTTGCTCCTTTATTTGTAAAATCATTTAGGCCTTGTATCAGTTAGAATTCCTTGGTTGTAAGCAATAGAAACTAACTCTGACCAACTCAGGCAAAGATACTGACAACAACACTGATGGGCTTACAAAGTCAAGGGAGAAGGAAGCTGGGCCATCTGGCCTCCTAAGAATAGAACTTCACCTGGACCTAGTGTTAGAGCCCTGCCATTGGTTGACTCTACTCTGGTTACCTCCTCCCTGAGTGTCCACTCTACTCAAGATTCACATTTCAAAAAAAAAAAAAAATATTCACACTTCCAAGTAAAAAGAGTCTGAATGGAACTGCTTTGGGTCACATATAACACCCTAAAAAACTTTTTTCCGGTATCCTTCCATGGAAAGTCCTTTCCAACCATCCAAGCTTATAAATTCAGACCGCAGGACATGACTACTTGCTAAAAAATGCCAACTCTAGTAATATAATCTTTTCTTTATATTCATGAAGAGGAAAAAAGATCACGATTAGTCTAAAATGTCACTCACCTGCCCTGAGCAAAACTTTTGATGTTTTTACTTGGTTGTGGGTTTTTTATCCTTTACATTTCAGTTAAATGACATTTGAATTTTTAAATGATCTTTATGAAGTTGAGACAAAAATGTTCACCAAAGATCAAGTATAATGTAAATTTAAATAAATAAATGAATAAATATATACCCTTAGAATAAATCTTAGTAAATTTAGAATCAATTTTAAATTGATTTTTTTTCTTTTTCAGAGAGAGTGTGTGAGCAAGTGGGGGAGAGGGAGAAAGAGAATCTTAAGCAAGTCCCACACTCAGTGCCGAGCCTGATGTGGGGCTCAATCTCATGATTATGAGCCAAAATGAAGAGTTGAATGCTTAACCTCCTGAGCTACCCAAGCACCCTAAATTTATTTTTAAATCCATTTGCTTTTCCCACTTATATAAATAAATTACGATACTCTGATACTATCATAAAATCCAAGTTTAGTCACTTCTACCTTTAATTCATAGAAGACAATCTAAAATGTTTAGATTTATATTTAATTTTCTGGGGCGCCTGGGTGGCTCAGTCGGTTGAACATCCGACTTCGGCTCAGGTCATGATCTCACGGTTCATGGTTCGAGCCCCATGTCAGGCTCTGTGCTGACAGCTCGGAGCCTGGAGCCTGTTTCAGATTCTGTGTCTCGCTCTCTCTCTGCCCCTCCCCCACTCATGCTCTGTCTGTCTCTCTCTGTCAAAAATAAATACACATTAAAAAAAATTTTTTTAATAAATTTAATTTTTCTGAAGGTTCAAATGCTTGGAGTAGGGGTAGAAGTAGAAGGAGTATTTTGGAGAAATGTGCTCTTAAATGTTGATTCTCTTTCTTCAGATAGTCTGTGAGAAAATATTTAAGGGAGAATCTTCAAGCACAGATTAGATAATCTCCTTTGAATTTGAAAAAATTATTTAGTGAGGATATTTTTTTCTGTCACATAATTAACTTTTTCACAGACAAAATTTTTTTAAATTTATTTTTAATGTTTATTTATTTTTGAGATAGAGAGACGGAGCACAAGTAGGAGAGGGACAGAGTGGGATACACAGAATCGGAAGCAGGATCCAGACTCCGAGCTGTCAGCACGGAGCCCGATGTGGGGCTCGAACCCATGAACTATGAGATCATCACCTGAGCTGAAGTCGGACACTTAGCCAACTGAGCCACCCAGGCGCCCCTTCACAGACAAAATTGGAAGGGCATAGATGAAGATTCTGTGTGGGACAGGATTTATACAATGGTGGAATAGGTTAGGTCATTGTGAGATGCAATTCATGTGGAACCAAAACATACTGCCTACCCTCTGCCCAAGTATATTCCACCAATATTTAAGTATATTTCCCCCACTGAAATACCCATGTGGCTGAATATGGCCTTTGAATTTCATGATAAAAGTCAGATGTCATCCTGGAAGAATCAAATATATCCAAATTTAAATCTTAATCAGTGCCTTTCTCCTAGTTGGCTTATAAATAGCCAGAGCCTAAAACAATGTGACACCTAAGAGGTGCTTTTCAAAACAGGGAAATCAGGGAGTGGAGGCCCATGGTGTGGGTGTAACCCATCAATTTCAGAGCAGGTCAAGGGAAGAGCACTGGACAGCCTGCATGAGGAACGGGAGTGTGAAATGCAAGGAGAGACTTTGCTCCTAATTTTCTTAAGGGTTATTTATGATTATTTCTAACAGGTGTAATTAGTGGGATGACATGACTGAAATACTTGGTTATACCTCTTCACTATAGTCCTTCCATCTGTAATCTCTATAAAGGAAAACAACGAATTCTGTTCATGGTGTTGGATTAAATAGATGCCGTTAATTTGAAACTAGACAGGTGTGATTTGTCCAAAGTTGATCGTGTGATGGAAAATAATTTGATTCACATTCACAAGTAACCTACTATGTGCATACAACCATAGAAAAATTCTCAAATGCACCACAATTTAGTAATGGACAGAGGGAGGAGGAGGGAGGGAGGGAAGCGTACGGTTCAGATACAAATTACATGCCAAAATAAATAATATAGACAGGTAGTTAAAAATGTAGAAGTTTAAAAAAATTGAGGTTAGTATGATCAGGAGCAGATTAAATATCAGCATGCAGGAATAAAACTTGAAATGGGGCTTTAAGAATAGGGAGGTTTGGATACGAGAAATACAAAATAAGAGGATCATTCTAGACTTTGGCTATGACGAAATTCTGATGTAGGATACTTCACATTTTTTTTTTTTAACGTTTATTTATTTTTGAGACAGAGAGAGACAGAGCATGAACGGGGGAGGGTCAGAGAGAGAGAGACACAGAATCCGAAACAGGCTCCAGGCTCTGAGCTGTCAGCACAGAACCCAACGCGGGGCTCGAACTCACGGACCGTGAGATCATGACCTGAGCCGAAGTCGGATGTCCAACCGACTGAGCCACCCAGGCGCCCCTGACGTAGTATACTTTAATGTGAAGTTCAAGTTCTGTGGCAGCTTTACGGGAACAGAATTTTAATATTAGTTTGTAAGCAAATTTGTTACAACTGGAGTCTCTTTGCATGAGTAATTAATGCAGGAATGTAAGTCTTGTTTCTTCCTTCCAGGTGTGTCTGCACAACTCACCAGCACTTGGCACCGTAGGAATACATCTGTGGGAACACCATTTTGGATGGCTCCTGAGGTAAGACGGTTTTGAGAGAGACAAATGTAATATTGAATCCTTTCTGGCTTTCCTTTTCATGCATGCACTGTCGCCCCATGTTTAGGAATGTACTAGAAGGAAATGTCAGTTGTGTCATTTTTATGAGAGATTTTTGTATGAGAAGGAACATGGGAGGTGCTCAATACATGGGCGTGAATGAATGAATGAGTAAATGAAGGATTGAATGAATAAATCCAATGAGGTCAAGAGAAACTGCTTGCGGCCTTAATTTTCTGTTAAATTTACTTTTAGTTGCTCAGCACGTATCTATATTATTGATATTTAGATTTTGTTTTTAAACTAAGAAATATTATGACAATCCCTAACCTTTGTTTAGTATCAGATTTTCGCTTATTAACCTATGTAACGGGTTCCTATATTGAGTGAGTCTGCCTGGGAGGGCCATGCTCATCTTGGGTGACTCTTGGGAAGTGGTGAATAAACTGCCAAAATTGCTGAGGGAGAAAGTTTTCTAGAGTCCCATCTTCTCTCCACAGCCCCTGTTAATGCCTTTAATCTTTTTAATTATGTTTATCAGTAAAGAAGACTTATGTTTGAAAACTCTCAGCCTCTGGGGAGGGTTCTGCTATTTATCTACCATTTTCTAGGGAGTGAAGGGAGAAGAAGCAGTTCAAATACTACATTAATATTGCAGAATTTTAGAGCTAAGTGTGTTTGAGGATTAAATCTTTGTGTGCTGTTTCTATTTTAATACTAATTCAATTATTACTTGCAAAAAAGTAAAATGTAAATGTAAAAGATGGAGAAAGGATACATTATCTTAAGAATCTTTTAAAAACTCCAATGGATTAAAAAACTCTTTTTTCTTTTTAATTTTTTTTAATATTTATTTACTTTTGAGAGAGAGAGAGTGTGTGCGAGCGACCACGGGGGAGGAGCAGAGAGAGAGGGAGACACAGAATCTGAAGCAGGCTCCAGGCTTCAAGCTGTCAGCACAGAGCCTGATGCGGGGCTCAGACCCACAGACTGGTGTATCATGACCTGAGCGGACGTTGGACGCTTAACCGACTGAGCCACCCAAGTGCCCCTGAATTAAAAAACTTTTAAGCAAGGTGTACATCTTGGAATAAAAATAGCGTAATCATATAAACAAAACCAAAATTGAATTAAGGGATTCTCAAGTGAGAGTTTCTTCAGTTTGTTCTGATGTATTACTAGTGTTTTAAAAGCTCATGACAAAATTTTAAAAATAAATTGATAAAATATAGGGATAATATTAAACAGTGTATTTTATTTATGTATATTAGTAATATAAATGCTATAATATGTAATAATTGTATTATTACTTATTAATATTAAATAATAGTGTAGCTTTATATTTTTCATATGTTATAGTAACAGACCATTGTTATATGTGTAAGTTTGCTTTTAGTGAAAAAGCAATTAAAAAAAACAACTTCTTTAAAGTGCTTTTTTGAGAGAGCGCATGAGTGGGGGAGGGACAGAGAGACAGGGAGACATGGAATCTGAAGGAGGCTCCAGGCTCTGAGCTGTTGGCAAGAGCCTGATGCAGGGCCCTAACCCCTGAACTGCAAGGTCATGACCTGAGCCAAAGTCAGACGCCCAGGCACCCTAGTAAAGAAAGCAATTTTGATTAGTGGATCTTGGAACAACTCTCACATATAAGTAAAAGAAAATATTTTGATCTATCTAAAATTCAATTATCAGAGTATTAAATGAGTTAATCATAAAATTGACACTCCTTAAATATGCAGTTCCTAGACTATCATTTTACTGGTAGGTCATTATTTTTTATCAGTAAACGGGGTTTGAAAGTGCTTTCCTGCTTAACAAACCAATGGGTATTACATAAAAGGGAAAGATTCACTGCCGTCTTTTCAAGCTGTCATATAAATACATATATATTCCATATTTTGTGCATATTATATGTCTTTCTGTAATAAGCATTTTCTAACTTGTGAATAAGTGTCAGTATTTCAATAAATGTCCATTTATTTAGAACTGTTGAAGAGTATATTTTGAATAACCAGCTATCTAGCTAATGAAGGCATCACATATATACCAGCTCTATGTCATTAATGACAAATCTCTTAGATTAGAAAATAGTAAGGTAAATAGTTTTAATATGTTCTCCATAATTAATGGCATAAATTTATTTCAGTGTTTTTACGGCAAGATTGTTCAAGTCAATTATAAGTTGAAAAGTGAAACTCTTGATTTGACATTTAAAAAAAAATTTTTTTATGTTTGTTTATTTTTGAGAGACAGAGACAGGGCATGAGCAGGGGAGGGCAGAAAGAGAGGGAGAATCTGAATCAGGCTCCAGGCCCCAAGCTTTCAGCACAGAGCCCAATGTGGGGCTTGAACCCATGAACCATAAGATCATGACCTGAGCTGAAGTCAGACGCTTAACTGACTGAGGCACCCAGGCACCCCTTGATTTGATATTTTTAAATTAAAGTCTAGATCAAAGGTAGCAGTCGTTGGTTACATAAAACCATCCTTTCCAAACTGAAATCCGTGTGTGTCAGGATGGAGGGCACAAGGGAAATAGTGACCATGATAGGTGAACATATACTTTTTACAAGCCATGACACTTTGCAGAGAGAAAGGGGATGATATTTATAATGACTCTAGGAAAGCAAGCATAAAACCAAGAATGTCTTAGGCAAATTGGGGCATAAATTCACACAAGCCTTTGGTGAGATATTCCAGGATCACATGTAGCCATAAAATAATGAAAAAAATATGGTGGGGCAAAATACATTTTTATATTAAGGACGTTGAAGATACACAACAGAACAGAAAATTCATATGAATGTGTTTTTTATTTTTAACAGCTTTATTAATATAAAATTCAAATACACATACCATATAATTAGCTTATTTGACATGTACAATTTGGTTACTTTTAGGTGTATATTTACAGAGTTGTGCAACCATCATCAGAATCTAGTTTTAGAGCATTTTCTTTCCCTCTAGAAGAAATCCTTTACTCAGTAACAGTCACTCCCAAGCTCTCCTCCCAAGCTCTCCTACACTAGGCAACCACTAATCTGCTTTTTGACTATGGATTTGCTTATTGTGAACATTTCATGTAAATATACACTATGTGGCCTTCATGTCTGGCTTCTTTCTTTTAGTGTTTACCCATGTTGTAGCATGTATCAATAGTCCATTGCTTTTGATGGCTGAATAATATTCCATTGTATGCATATACCATATTTTGTTTATCCATCACCAGTTGATGGACATTTGGGTTGTTTCCCCTTTGGGGCTATTATGACTAATACTGTGAATATTTGTCACGTGAATTTTTAATATAAATTGGGGACTTTTATGCTTACTTTTGCTACAATGCTTGCTAAAGTCATAAACTTCACTTCCCCCCCCCCTATTTTCTACTAGGTGATTGCATGTGAACAGCAATTGGATACCACTTATGATGCCAGGTGTGACACATGGTCCCTGGGGATCACAGCCATCGAGCTAGGGGATGGAGATCCTCCACTGGCCGACCTGCATCCTATGAGAGCACTCTTCAAAATACCAAGGTCAGAGGATGAACATGGGGTACAGTATCTGTAGCCTGTCTTTCTTCCCCAAGCCGGTGGTGCTGATCATGGAAATATTCAACATATTTCAGCAAGTTTGGAGCACAGTGGCCTGGAATATCATTCTGCCTATTCTGAGACACTGTATTTATTCAATGGTTTCATTTTCCTGGTCTAAGTAAGATCTTTCTCTTGACACTCAGTGTGTTTTCCTTTTTGGAGGACTTGATCTCAGAAAACAGCAGTTCCTTTCACTCTTGATCCACTCCCAAATTTGTCAGGAAGGCCCTGGGCCATAGTCAGTGCAACAGTGATTCGCTCTGCTTTCCTCTATCAATCCAGTAATTTTTTACTACTTGCTAAGACGTCTCTTTGGAAGTTTAAAATGATGTTACTAATAAAATTATAAACAGATTTGACTGATAAAATAGTAATGATTTTGAACTTTTTAATATTTTGAACATACTAACATAGAACAGTAACTTTAGAATAATCTCTTTGGAGCCACGGAAGCACTTTCCTATCTACGTAGACCCCTCCCCTTCAGTGTGTATATTGACAAATTTTCCCCTTTTTATCGTATTACTAATTAAACACTATTTTATACATGTTTTGGTTAGTTCCTAGATATTTCCAAAACCTGATTTGAAAAGACTGCCTGTTTTTAATACAAATCTGTTACCTTTTGAGGGCTATCTTAAAGACTGTGCCTGGTACCATAATTCTAATGGAGTGCACACCCAGGGCCTGTGATGAAAGGGGTCTAGGGCAGGGTAGTAGGGTACCACTCTCCATTAAACAAATTTTGTCACCCTAGTGCCTATAGCATGTAGAATCATATATGCAAAGCCCTGGGGCGCAGTTCTCCAGTCCTAAAGAAATAATGCCAATGTGTCGTATTCATGTCTAAATGGGTCCATTTGGGACATTTGGCATGTATTTAAATTAGTAGAAGACCAAAGAATTCGAGTGTGTTTTTAAAAAATTTTTTTTTTCAATGTTTATTTATTTTTGGGACAGAGAGAGACAGAGCATGAACGGGGGAGGGGCAGAGAGAGAGGGAGACACAGAATGGGAAACAGGCTCCAGGCTCCGAGCCATCAGCCCAGAGCCTGACGCGGGGCTCGAACTCACGGACCGCGAGATCGTGACCTGGCTGAAGTCGGACGCTTAACCGACTGCGCCACCCAGGCGCCCCTCGAGTGTGTTTTTAATTTTATCTTTGACCTTCCTGTCTGATATACATGTTCTGAATTATAATGCCTTATCATCCTTTACATAACAATGTGAATGTAAATCTCAGGTCTAACTTACTTGTAAAATATACTGCTTATTCGGTAAGAGGGGAAACAAGATTACAAAAAAAGAACAGAAAACCGGCTCTCTGCCAAGTCTAAGCCATTTCATTAAATTTGAGGAAAACAGAAAAAAAAATCTATGTTTCCTAACTCCTACTGTCATTCAGTGTGTAAGAAGCACTGTACTTCCTGAGCCATTTTAATTATGGTTTAAACTACCAAGGTTGTTAGCCGGATGTTATTACTCTTGGTAATGACACCAGATGGAGGAGGAATGACACCACCATTCGTGTTTATTGCACCTGTGAGCAAGGTGCTTCTGGAAACTACATTCTCTTACTTATTTCTCCTTACTTCTGCCACCATGTCAGAGTATATCTCTGACATGAAGTTCTTAGAACACTAACTGTAGAAATAATTGGGGGGAAAAAAGGGATCTGAAAAGCTACCTTGTTCTGAGTGTTCTCAAATCATCGAAACTTTGTTATACTCAAAGGAAGCCAACAAATCTCTTAGAAAGGAAATTTTCAGGAGGACGAGAAGCAAAGCAAGACCATTGGAGAAAAGAATTACTTCTTTTAATGTGCAAATCAGCAGTCTTCAAATGGCCCTGAGAATTGTACAATGAGCCCTAGGCGTGATCTAGGGTAGATGAGTGGCTGCACTTTTCTTTAATGAGTCTGTACAGACTGTACACTAATTTCATTATAAGCTATTTAAGGAGTAATGCAGAACTGAAGACAAAGTGTTTCCATTCTACTAATGAAAACAAAGAGCTGTTAGAATTAGCGTAAGGCAGTACTTCAGCAAGTTCAGCCATCATGGTTGATCAATGCTGCTTGATTACAGAGTTAGATCAGCCTCATTTCCAAGTGATGTGCCTTTGTATTCCTGAACATGCCAAAAACAAAAAGATTTGTTTGGCCTAAAAATAAGAGAAACTAATAACAAAATCTTTTAAGTGGCATTCAGAGCTTTATAGCTAATCATATTTTCCAGTTCCTTACTTTCGTAACCTTGTTTCCAGAAGCAACAGAACAGCTCCTAAAGGCATTCTATTAATGCCCCTCTCTGCCACAGTCTCCCTCATATTCTGAACAGCACACCTTTGAGGTTACCTCTCTGTACCCTGGATATTCCTCAGAGGCTTCTGCAGGACTCAGAGTTAAAAAAAAAAAATCTCTAGTATTCATTGTTTCTATTCTGCCAAGTTATTGATGTTTCCCCATAGGGCTCTCAGGTAAAAGCAGAAAGACTCCTTAAAAGAAAAAAATTTATCAGAAAAATTGGGTCATCTATTAAGTGCATTCAGAGAAACAAGCTGTCATTTTATATAAAGAATGATTAATAACTAATTATCTATCTTTGAATTGGAAAATTGTGGCCCTGCTTGATGATGCCTGGCAGAACCTCTGACTGCAGTAACGCATTAGTCTGTCCAGCTCTGATTGTGCACTGACTGACCAACGTGCACTATCCAACCTTGATTCTTATTTTTCTAGGAATCCACCCCCCCATCTAAGGCAGCCTGAGATATGGTCAGCAGAATTCAATGACTTCATTAGCAAGTGAGTAACAACAGAGTCTTTCTTTAAAAATTGTTTTCAACATTTATTTTTTTTTGAGAAAGAGAGAGTGTGAGTGGGGGAGGGGCAGAGAGAGAGGGAGACACAGGATAAAACCAGGCTCCAGGCTGAGCTGTCAGCGCAGTGCCCAATGTGGGGGCTCGAACTCAATGGGACTGTATGATCATGACCTGAGTGGAAGTTGGATGCTTAACCCACTGAGCCACCCAGGTGCCCCAACAATAGAGTCTTAAAAAAAATGAGAGAGAGAAAGATACCATCTTGCTAGAACTTTGAAATGTGCCTTTTACAACCATTCCCCCATGCTTCTGAATCTCCTCCTTATGTCTTATCTATTGAATAGCCCAGTAGTTTCTATTATTTTCTTCAAAACCAAAAACGTTTCTTCTGAATGTTCAGTGAATTCATTATTGCTCTAATAATGGTCTTAGGGTCACGTTTCTTTGCTTAACCATAGCTATGCTCCTGAAGTTGCATTGTTCGTTTACACATCCTTCTGTCCACCTGCCTTTTGCAAGCTGTGCCCTTAGCATCTTCCACACACTCAACCCAACCATCATCTATTCAATCGGCTTTTTAACCTTTCATTTATCTGCACCTCTCATTCTTGTTACCATCGGGGAATTTTCATTGCAATCAATGAATCAGATAATTGTACAGGTAAAATGCTTATGTATTTGAAATTTAGCGAACATTATTTGGAAATTCAGTTAACAGTTTTTTAAATGTTTGTTTATCTTTGACACAGAGAGAGACAGAGTGTGAGTGGGGGAGGGGCAGAGAGAGAGGGAGACGCAGAATGTGAGGCAGGCTCCAGGCTCTGAACAGTCAGCACAGAGCCCGATGCGGGACTCGAACTCATGAACTGCAAGATCATGACCTGAGCCGAAGCTGGACGCTTAACTGACTGAGCCACCCAGTGCCCCTCAGTGAACATCTTTAATTTGACAAATATTTAGCACAAGTGCAGCACCTTTGGACAGTTGACTTGAAGATATGAGTGAATGATTTCTAAATATCTGCCCTACAAACCTGTTTTCACAGTCTTACTATTTTTTCACCATAAATTAATAATAATAATAATAATAGTAGTAGTAGTAGTAGTAGTAGTAACAGTAGTAATAATAAGGTAAGGGATGACGCAGTTTGTAATTGGAGGAGAGAAGACATTAAGAGTAGGTGTGTTACATCATCAATAATAATAGCCAAACTGTGGAGGGAGCCCAAGTGTCCAGCGACTGATGAATGGATAAAGAAAATGTGGTGTGTGTGTGTGTGTGTGTGCGCACGCGTGCGCATATATATACACATACAACAAATATTACTCAGCCATGAAAATGAAATCTTGCCATTTGCAACAACATGGATGGAGCTAGAGTGTATTATGCTAAGAAAAATAAGTCAGAGAAAGACAAATCTTAAATTCACTCATATATGGAATCGAAGAAACAAAACAGATGAACATATGCCGGGGGAGAAAAAAAGAAAGAGGCAAACAAACCATGAAGACTCTTAAAGATAGAGAACAAACAGGGTTGACAGAGGGAGGTGGGCAGGGCACGGGCTAGATGGGTGATGGGTATTAAGGAGGGCACTTATGATGAGCCCTGGGTGTTGTATGTAAGTGATGAATCACTGAACTCTACTCCTGAAACCCATATTGCACTGTATGTTAACTAACTAGAATTTAAATAAAAATTTGAAAAGAAAAAATTAGGTGTGTCAGACAACACTCAGAAAATGTGGAAACGGCAAAGAAAGTAGAGGAACCAGTCATACTCACACATTCTACAATCATTGGTTTTTCTACCAAGAATATCTGCTCGTTCCTGTAAAGACAAGAGGCTTAGATTTAAGGGTTGTGGAAAATCCAAGGATTGATAGTCCATTTTGTTCCCCAAATTTCACATAAGCCCTTATTATTGAGTATGCACCATACACGACAGAATATTTATTTATTTTTTTTTTATTATTTAAAAAAATTTTTTTTTTCAACGTTTATTTATTTTTTGGGGGACAGAGAGAGACAGAGCATGAATGGGGGAGGGGCAGAGAGAGAGGGAAACACAGAATCGGAAACAGGCTCCAGGCTCTGAGCCATCAGCCCAGAGCCTGACGCGGGGCTCGAACTCACGGGACCGCGAGATCGTGACCTGGCTGAAGTCAGACGCTTAACCGACTGCGCCACCCAGGCGCCCCCACTACAGAATATTTAATAAACACATCTCTTGGGAGAATCGCTGGTAACATTGAAGGGTTCCCCATGTCTGCAGTCCTTTCGCATAGCTCCTTGAATGAACTTGTTGATTTTGACATGTTTCACACAATTTCACCTCTGAGTAACATTTCCTGATTTCCTCTAGGCAGCTAGTTAGTATTCTGTCCTGTGTGCTATCACTGTATTTTTTTCTTCTTCCCCTAGGAACATTGCCACTTTTATTTAACTGCCTCTTTAGATGCCTCTCTTCCCAGCTAGACAGTAAGTAACTGCAGGGCACTGAATATGCCGTATTTGTCATTGTAATGCCAGTGTCCAGCAGAGTGCCTGGTACACATCAGCTATTTGGAAATTTTTTTAATATTAAAAAAAAAGAGAGAGAGTGTATAAGCTGGGAAGAGGCACAGAGGGGGAGATTCTTAAGCAGGCTCCACACTCAGGGAGGAGACCAATACGGGGCTCTATCCCACGACCCTGGAATCATGACCTGAGCCGAAATCAGAAGTTGGACACTTAGCTGACTGAATCACCCAGGCGCCCCTCACATCAGCTATTTGATACAGTTGTACTTGAATAAAATAATTTCATATGTGATTCTACTCAATACATTGAACAAGTGCTACAGATGTCAGAAATTGATGCATTCTGTTAATGAAACAGAAATGAAAATAAATGAAAACTAAGAGCACTTGTTCTTAATTTCAGACATCATCATCCTTATTCCTTAGAGTATTTTAACATCCTTGGGAAATATGTTATTGCTTAAGCCCAGGAAAATAAATTGCTAAATTATCATACCAGGAGGAGTAATAGTACAGATTAGAAACACCACTGCCCAAGTCAAGGCATGGGTGTCTTCTTCTTCTTCTTTCTTTTCCTATATCCCAAGTGTCAGCCCAACTCTGACCAGTTGTCTTGCTCCTCTGAATCTCATGGTTGGAAGGGTACTGGAAATGTATACAGCCCAAACCACACACAGAGTATAAATCCTTCTTGAACATGTGCACTGAGTGGCCATCCATCAGTATGTAACCATGTCCAATAAAGGTAATCATACTTCCCAGTGCAGCCCATTCTGTCTGAGAAGCCTTCCTGTTGGAAAGTTCTTCCTTATACTGACCTGAAATCTGTTTCTCTTTTAATTTTTTTAAATGTTTTATTTATTTTTGAGAGAAAGAGAGCGCGAGCATACACGTGTGAGTGGGGGTGGGGCAGAAAGAGAACAGGACAGAGGATCTGAACGAGGCTCTGTGCTCACAGCAGAGAGCCTCATGCGGGATTTGAACTCACAAACGTAAGCTCATGACCTGAGCCAAAGTCAGACGCTTAACCAACTGAACCACCCAGGTGCCCCTGTTTCTCCCTTAATTCCATGAATCGATCCCAGGTTCTGTGTCACTTTTGACCACTGAAAACTGGTCTAATCCCACTTTCAAATATTTGAAGACACCTGTCATGGCTGATTAGATGTCCCCTTTGTTCAAATGTCCCTTTCGTGATGCTATTTCAGGTGTTCTCACTACCTTTATCCTTTCTCATGCTATGATCCCATTGAACCTACCAAGAGGTGCAGTGTGCCTTAGTAAATCTGCTTCATATACAGCTCTCCAAAAACATCTACTGGTGTGGAATTTAAATATCTTCAACACATTAGCCTTCTCAAGTAGGTTAGCAGCTTGATTACATAGAAAGAAATAGATCAATTGAGAAGCCTTTAAAAGCATTGTGGAAGGGAAAAGGAAAAGTTTGTTTTAATTTTAGATAACCATTCAAACTGTAATGACTTCAGTGCTTCCTTCTTTAGCTCCTGGCTTGTAAAGGAGACTTTGCAGCAGAGACCACATTTAATGACCTCTATGCCAGCGTGCTTGCTGGAGCACTAGGGAGGAGTGTTTAGTCGGAAGTTGGTATCACTGTAGTCTCATCACTCACAGATGTGTGCACTTTTGTAAACATGCATTCTTCATATTGCAGTTTGACTTTTTTTTTTGAGGTCTGCTTTGCAGGATGAACATTTGAGAGGAGCCTCATCCTCTTGTGTTATGATAGTCCTTAGCAAGATGAATAATAATGCCAAAACTCGAACTTATCTAATAATTGCATGGTTTTTTTTGTTTTTGTTTTTGTTTTTTTGCTAGTGCAGGTGCTTGACTAAAGATTATGAAAAGCGTCCAACAGTGTCAGATCTTTTACAGCATAAATTCATTACTCAAATTGAGGGCCAAGATGTGATGTTGCAGAAGCAGCTGATGGAATTCATTGATATTCATCAAGGCATGGGAGGCACAGAAAAAGCCAGGTAATCAAGTAATATCTTCATTCCAAACATCTTCTAAAGACTCTGAACAATTTTATAATGCAATAGGTGTTAAGGTGAGAAAAGAACTCATTTAAATTCGTTCCTTGTGGTTGGGAGATAAGGGGGTACTTACATGAAAGGTGAATTCACATGTTGAGTTGCATCCCAGTATTGGTAATTGCTGGCAGCATTTTCTAAACAACTTTATCAGAATAAAGAATATAAACTTCAGTAGGTGATTAGTATTGGCATGTCTCTTCTTGTGTTTTCTGCTCTTCTGTAAAGTAAGGTATCTTAGATTTGAGATTAAAAAGGAACATAAGCCTTCCAAGACATTCTGATAGTCTTATTTCATGGATCATTTTTTTCAGGCTGAACTATACTCAAAAATCATTTTAAATATTTTCCTACTTCCTATTTGGGTTTCTAATAAGATACTATGTATAGTTTTTATAATATCAAATGTGTTTTTTACTTATTATAGATCGTATGTATGTTTATTTCAGGGATATAGATATAGATAGATATAAAAGATACAGGGAAGTATATAACAAAATCAATCAGTAAAACATTTTAATCTGTAACCTTTTAGTATCTTATGATGGATATACATTTAAGGAAATTGGAATAGTATTTATATGTGTTCTGTAGCCAGCTTTTTTTTTCTTTTTAAGCCCCATCGCCTATTTTGCCCATTCCCCACTTCCCTCCCCCCAACCCCACCTCCCTCTCCCGCCCGTCCCCCCCCCCATACTCTCTTCCCTCTGGCAACCACCAGTTTGTTCTCTGTATTTATGAGTCTGTTTTTGTTTGTTTCTTTCTTTGTTTTATTTTTTAGATTACACATAATAGGTGAAATGATATGGATTTGTCTCTGTTGGAGGTTTTTTTTTGTGGAATTTATTTTGAGAGAGACGGAGAGAGCATGTGTGTGCACTCAGGTGAGGGAGAGGCAAAGAAAGAGGGAGAGAGAATCTAAGGCAGGCTCCACACTATCAGTGCAGAGCCCCACGTGGAGGTCAATCTCGTGAACTGTGAGATCATGACCTGAGCTGAAATCAAGAGTTGGACGCCTAACCAACTGAGCCACCCAGGCATCCCTGGACTTGTTTTAGTTAGCATCATACCTCTAGGCTTATCCAGGTTGTTGCAAATGGCAAGCTCTCATTCTTTTTTTATTTTTTTATTTTTTTATTTTTTTGAGACAGAGAGAGACAGAGCATGAACGAGGGAGGGTCAGAGAGAGGGAGACACAGAATCTGAAACAGGCTCCAGGCTCTGAGCTGTCAGCACAGAGCCCGATGCAGGGCTCGAACTCACGGACCGCGAGATCATGACCTGAGCTGAAGTCGGCCGCCCAACCGACTGAGCCACCCAGGCACCCCTCTCATTCTTTTTTATAGCTGAGTAATATTCCATGTGTATGGGGAGATATATATATATATATTGGGTTGCTTCCATATCTTACCTTACCTATTATAAATAATGCTGCAGTGAACACAGGGGTGCATACATCTTTTCAAATTAGTGTTTTCATTTTCTTTGGGTAAATACCTAGTAGTGGAGTTACTGGATTGTATAGTATAGCCATTTTAAATTTTTTGAGGAATCTCCATACTGTTTTCCATGGTGGCTGCACCAATTTACATTCCCGCCAACAGTGCACGAGCACTCCCTTTTTTTGACATCCTCATCAATACTTAATTATTTATCTTTTTATACTAGCCATTCTGACAGGTGTGAGGTGATACCTCATTGTCATTTTGATTTGCATTTCCCTGATGATAAGGGATCTTGACCATCTTTTCATATGTCTGTTGGCCATATGTATATCTTTGGGGAAATGTCTATTCAGGCCTTCTTCCCATTTTTCATCAGATTATTTGTTGGTGCTGGGTTGTAGAAGTTCTTTATGTATTTTGCATATTAACCTCTTATTGGATAGGTCATTTGTGTGGATTTTCTCCCATTCAGTAAGTTGCCTTTTTATTTTGTTGATGGTTTCCTTTGCTGAGCAGAAGCTCTTTATTTTGAAGTAGTCCACATAGTTTATTTCTGCTTTTGTTTTCCTTGCCTGAGGAAACATATCCATAAATATGTTGCTAAGGCCAATGTCCAAGAGTCTACTGCCTATGTTATCTTTTAGTTTTATGGTTTCAGATCTCACATATAGGTCTTTAATTCATCTTGAGTTTATTTTTGTGTATGGTGTGAGAGAGTGGTCCAGTTTCATTCTTTTACATGTAGCTGTCCAGCTTTTCCTAGCACCATTGAAGAAACTATCTTTTCCCCATTGTATATTCTTGCCTCCTTTGTTCTAGATTAGTTGACCATGTAAGAGTGGGTTTATTTCTGGACTCTTTATCCTCTTCCACTGATATACATATTGGAACATGCTTGTTTTCACTGAAGAGTGAATATCCATGTCATTAAATCTATGTAATTCTATGACAGATTTTTTTTTAATTGCTGCAGAACGTTACCTTGCATGACTATTCAGTGATTGATTTAAATAATCCCCTATTAGACATTTAGGTTGTTAGTAATTGTTTTTAATTCTAATAAGTAACACTGTAATGAACAGAGTTGTACATGAATCCGTTGTTTCCTAAAGATAAATTCCTAGAGACAGTGCTAAGTCAAAGAGGAGCCTTTTGTAATTTCAGTTTATTCTTGAAAATTTTATTAGTTTCATCTCAGGAATGTATCACTATTTAGGGATAAGTTGAGAGAAGTGAGTAGAAAATAGTACATGACTTAAAAGGGGACATTGTATTAGGACTTTATATTCTCTCATGTGATTTACAACAGCCCTGAGTGAAATGTTCTAGAACACCCCATGCCCCATTTTCACAGCTGAGAAAGTTAGCAGAGGCTAATTAACTTGCACAAGGCTGCACAGGTAATGAATGGCTTAGCAGGGATTCAAATCCTGATCCCAAAGCCCAGGCTTTATTCACATGAGTAAATGGAGTAATGATGGTAGACCTCTCTGGAGGTAGTAGTCCTTGCCTGTATGAGTTTACAGCCTTGCTGGAGAGAGAGAACTCATATATCTGTAATGAAGAAACATTATGTTGTGAGTGGAATGAACTGCAGAAAAGAAGGATGCAAGCATGTAGTTTATGGTGAGGAGGTGGCCATGGGCTCATACATGTCTATCACTTCTTCTTTGTTGAATCCAGTTCCATAGTTGGCCACAACCCCTTCTTCCCAGAGCAAGCAGACAAATAAGAAACAAAATGAACAGAAATTGAAGTGTACCAACATTGTGTAAGGTGCTCAAGAACTATGTCAAGAACTATAGAGAATTTGAGGTTTTACCTTATTTGCAAGCTAATAAGTTAACCTTCCAGTTTCGTGCATATTGGCAGGAGATATGAGACTCCTAGATCAGAGACAAAGGACTTGACTACTCTTGTTAAGCCAGCAACATGAGTTTTACATTCATGTTCATTGTCCTTGCCCCATAAGTCCTAGGGCTGATGGATGGGTAGGTATATACAGTGGGTTTGCCTCACAGTTTGGGAATCTTGAGCTTGGGAAACACCACTCCTTGAAGAGGGCTAACAAACCTGCCCAAACTTTGTCCTGGAGCAGTCATTATCTTTACTATCCTGTTCAACAAACCCAACCTCCTTCTGTCCTGTAGAGAGACATTATCTCTAACTTCCAAGACTGTTTATAATACAAGCATCCTTGGAAATATAGTCTGGGAAAAAAGCTAATATAGGACATCCAGAAATGTGAGAGACCCATCGAGGATTGTCTCCCAACATCCAAGCATCATAGGAATGGTTGAACTACACAATGTTTCGATTCTAAGCACGTTGCTCTAAGTTCCAGAGATCAAAATAAAGAAAAAATTATTGAAAACAACTGTATATTGGGCACTGCTTTAGGCTCAACACTTCTGAGTCACAAAGCTAATTCTTATTTATCCTGTTAAGAATTCAGAATATGTTTTGAATATGAAAACTCCTGTCTTACTCAGTTGTAGAAAATTTTCAGTCATTATTCCTTTAAATATTGATCCTCTCTTATGCTTTTTATTTTCTACTTCTAAGAGATAAATATTGCAATGTCCTAATATACCTTATGTGTCTTATATTTTCTATTTTATGTTTGTCATTCATTTATTCACTCCTCCTGTATTTTGGATAATTTCTTCAAAGTTGTTTTTCAATTCACTAATTCTTAAACTAGGACTAGTCTAGAGTTATCCTATATACTTATTTTTCATGCTGATATTTCTATCAACTGCTGTGTTTTTCATTTCTAGAATTTCTCATCTTTTATAAACATTTATTCTTTATTCATATCTGACTTTTTATATCTGGCTGTTCATATCTAGCTAATATATTTTTCTTTTTTGTGAATGCAGTCCTTTTTCTCTGTAACAGTCTAGACTGTGTAACAGTCTTTTTTTGATTTGCATTTCAGTAAGGGTGAATTGTCCTGATTATTGAGGTCATTTGTTTCCTTAATATTTGGTTTCTTCTGTGGTTTAGAATTTTGGTTTGCTCTCTCACCTTGAATGGGAGAGATTTTGCTCTGCTTTTTCTTTCCTTCTGCATTCTTTACTCCTATTTTGGAGGTTTTGCCTTGCTATATTCTGGCTTCTGAAGCCTTTCTGCCTGATAGGACTTTGAGAATATTGCAGATCTGGCCAAAGAGCCAGTAGGAAGTAGACCCCATGGCATCTCAGGCACTTGGCTCCATAAAAGGAAGAAGATGCAGAATTTTTTCAGTGTTTTCTTCCAGGTAAGAGACACCCCCTCCCCACATTCAGTTGCATTCTCTCTAGAGCCTAGAGAGATAAGGGCCTAGATAAGGGCCTTCACTGCAAGTGGCTTCATTTCAGCCTATAGTTTCTGTCCTCTCACCCAGGGCATATCTGACCTGTTAGGTCCACTGTAATGCTCACCTTGTTTTAAAGAATGTCTTTGTCTTTTTAATTCTACTTAAAAATCTTTTTAAAAAGATTTTATCTTTCACAA